GGAAGACAAAGGTCTCTAAGAAGATTAAAGTCGTTCTTCGGTCGGTGGCCCACCGTGGATTAAACTCAGGATTGCCTTCAATGGAAGTGCAGTAACTGGAGCTTGCTACCCTCTGCGTGCCCCTTGTGCCTTAAGGCAGAGAAGTCCATCGATCACTTATTTCTCCATTGTTCTCTTGCCCAAATATGCTGGTCTCTAGTTTTTTGCCACTTCGACTTGAACCTTTGCCTCCCGCAGCGAGTAGATGAGTGGCTTCTTCAAGCCCTAGTGGGTGGTGGATTCAAAAATTCCAAAGGAACCTTGTGGACTTTCGTGGTGGCAGCAGTTATGTGGAACCTTTGGCTGGAACGAAACAAAAGACTTTTTGAAGATTTTTCAATAGAATTTCATGTTTTGTGGAGTAATATACAGCTCACTGCATCTAGGTGGTGTCATAGTTTTAGCAAATTCTTTTGTAACTACTCCCTTGTTTCTATCCTTCACAATTGGAAGGCGCTCATGTAGTAGTTTTTTTTGGGGAGGGGTTCTCTCTACCCCTTGCCCTTAGGTTGTTCTCCCTTTTATGATTAATACATTTCTCTCAGTTTCTTATCAAAAAAAAAGAACTATGTCGCGAGAGAATTGCCTTTAGTAAGGTATGGCATTCAGGGTCTATTTGATACCTGTTAGGGCTCCATCTACCATTTGTCAGGGTTTCTTTCGTGATTTGTCTTTCCTAAACTAGTAGTCATGGCTGATGCATCTTCGAAGAGAACAAATAAGTAACTTGACTCTAAAATTTACGAAACCTGGTTCAATCCCAGTAGTGACCTATCCAAATAACTAACATCTAGTTTAAAGGAGACAACTTTCTTCATTGGTCTCGAAGTGTTCGAATCTATATTCGTCAGAAGGAAAAATCAGCTTTTACTAGAGATAAAAAAGCATCGGCTGCAAAACATTAGTTATTTACTACTTGGGACGCTGAAAATTCTGTGGTAATGACTTGGTTAGTTAATTTTATGGATGAGGAGATCAGTGTCAGTTTATGTTATAATCTACTGCAAAGGAGTTATGGGATTCGTAAATGAGATGTATTCTGATTTGAGCAATCAATCACAGATATTTGAACTGACCTTAAAGCTGGGTGAAATTTGACAATGAGCCAATACAATTACAAAATAATTTCATTCTTTGTGGGGTGTGAGGTTGGTTATTTTTCCTTTTTATATTGGGTCTTCATCTTGGGCATAATCCTAGAAGTGTTTCTTTTTGGGATTCAGTTGTACAAAATATTCAAAAATAGCTCTCTTCTTGGAAGAGAAGTTTGTTCTCTAAAAGGTAAACAAACTCTCATCCCGTCTATTTTGAGTGGGATTCTAATTTATTTCCTTTCCTTATTTAAGGTGCCGACTTCAGTTAGTAATACCCAAAAAAGGTCACGAGGGATTTCTTATGGGAAGGGATAGAGGAGAGGAGGGGAAGTGTTCTCACTTAGTCAAATGGGATGTGGTGACACAGCCATTTGACCTAGGGGTCTGGGCATTAGCAACGTGAGGGTGCGAAACAAGGCCTTGTTGCCTTGTTGACGATTGAACCCAAAATTGAACGATAAGGACCCCTCAAAATGAACAAGAATAGAAGTCACAGGAGCAAACTTCAAGGAGGACAAATGATAGAGGCATGGAAAAATGTTTATCCCCCGACCATCATTCCTGCTGAGTGCTGAAAACAAATCAAAGAGCCAACCCCAAAAAATAACCTAACAAAACTATAAAATTACATATACCCCCAAGCAACAGACTTCCACAAGTTCTTGAAAGTGCCTTTGACTCTCAATTAGAGACTCGTTCATTAGGGAGATAATCATACTTGCTGACAATGATCTTATGCCACAACATGATTTTCCAAGGGGAACAAAATAACCTAATATGAGGTGACCACTATGATTGGTCTAAGTAATGAAATGAAAGCACTTGAAATGAAAGCTATTTTTATTGCCTCGTACTTCACTATCTCACCCCTAACTTCAAATACTTAATGACAATGAATGTTTTGGAATTTTCATCATTAACACGTGCATCATAATCAACACATAACCTATGCTACATTATAAACCATGATGTGTTCCAAAAAGAAATAAAAAACGAGAGACTATGAAAGAAACAACGAGATAGACTAAAGAATGACATCAACCTCCTGAGAAACATACACATCTATGATCTATCAGCTCAATCAGTTAAAGAGAACGAGAAAGAGAGAAAAAAAAAATGATAAACCCGGGAAAATACCTTTCTCCACCAATTCCTAGCATTTTTATCTCCCTCTACCAACTGTAGAGCCAACCCCTCAAGACCAGAAGTGTGCCAACTCCTCTCAGATTCTCGGCTGTGATGTTCGTTAGACCTCATAAATGAGATAGCCTTCCCTTTCCATTGCCCAACAAAAGGACTGGCCCCAACTTCAGCAAAAGACCCATTGCCAGCTTCAACCTCCTGGTCGTTTTCATCTCCTTTATTATCCTCCACTACCTCCAAAAGCAATATTTCATCTCCTTCATTAATCTCCTTTGCATCCAAAGGCAACATTTCCACAGCCTCCCCAGTTTTGTTCCACTGATAAACTGAACTAAATCTCCCTACCTTAGGCAGCTGGAGAACCCGGTTATCTCCAGATTCCCACAGCAAACTCCCATCCTTCCTCACAGTGACGAACTTGAACTCCACTAGCTCGTCCCCTTTGAGCTCTAAATCGCAATTCCACCCATCCTCACTCCAATTCAGAAGAGTCTGATTCTTCCATGATCCCAACTCTTTACACGACCCTATAATTACCACAGACTCCCCAAATTCAACTTGGTGGTCTAACCTCACCTTCAGAAGGACCTTCCCGCCACTCCCCGATTTCCCGGTCCTCTTAAGCTCTTCACCTTCCCTGTTAAATACCAACAGCATTTCACGATCACATAACTGTAATACTTGAGTTAATTGGATGAAGTATTAAAAAGAACACCTCATAAGTACCAATCATGAAAACAAGTAGAAGAAAAAGAAGAGAGGCCACTTAACAACCTGACAGCTTGTTGAGAAGCAGAGGAAACCCCACAGACGATCTGAGAACCGCGCTTCCATGGACAGTTCTGATTACAAAAAGAAGGGAAAACCCCAGGTGGAGAAAAAATGATCAAGCGTAGAGGGTTTTTACAGCATTGCAACCGGTGATGGGGGTGGCAATTTAGAGGACGTGGGAGTAGGAATCTGTTAGACAACTGAATATGCGAAGAAGTTAAAGAGCAATGCGGGGGAGCGCGAAGAGAACCCATTATTAATCCTCGAAGGAGCGAAGAAACACTGCAAGCATCCCCAATTCTAGACAGTCGATTGAGCACGAGACGAGAGAGCGAGAGAGAGAGATTTCACTCAAGAAGATACTTTCGAGATCCCAGTGGACGGAGGATATTAAAAAATTATGAGGTAATGAATCCCCACATTGAATGTGGCGACGAAACCCATCTTAGCCACGTGAATTTAACTACAATTACGAAGCTGATAATAAAGTATCTGTTTTTCCATTTTGAAGTAAAAGGCAAGCAAATACAAGACGGAGCTAGAAGCCAAAGAGAAAAAGACTCTTCCCCAATTCCAAGCCGTTCATTTTTCACTGAGGTGACGCATGAGCTGAGAAATTGCCTGCCCTTTTGGTGTGGATGAAGAAGCTGTAAACCGCAGGCCTTCTCCGGTCATCTTCTATCTGGAACAGATTTGGCAAGAACAGCTTTTCACAATTTTCTTTCATGTTTCTTCTTTTTCACTGAAAATTATTAACTTTTGGCAGAAAGTGGTAGCCATAGCCACATTTCAACTGAAGCTTTTCTCTCTTTTTTTCTTACTTTGGCATGTAGTTTCTTTTTGTGTATATAATTTTTCTATTTAGAAAATCATTTGTATGCATATATATTAATGAAGGAAGTAGATATTTTGAGTGTAAATATAATTATATATTTATGTATATATTTTGAGTGTATTAGATTTTTTTTTGGGTTGTTAAATTACAATTTTTTTTTTTTGAAATACGGTTAAATTACAAGTTTAATCCTATATTTTTTCGGGATAAATCTCATTATCTAATAGCTTAACTTTCAATTTCATGTTTGTCTTCGTCCTTTTTCGACCTTCTTTAAATTTTGTACTAACTATTAGAAATAAGATTGAATTTTATGTCCCTAAAGTTGGATCTTTCAATTTTGTATTTGATATAAAAATTTTATTATAATAAAAATTATTAGTAGTATAAATAAAAAATAAATAATCAAGTATAAAATAATTAATTAAAAAAATTACCAGCCTCCAATAACTCTCTTAAAAAAAGTTATTTTGGCTTAAATTTAACTTAGGTAGAGATGTTTTTGAATGATCTAGCTATGATTTAGAAGCGGTCTAGTGGTAAAAACTGTGTAATTGGAGTTTGGCATAATATGTGATTTTATATGGAAATTTACCCATTTATGATACTTTTTCTTAGCTTCTCACTTGATCTGAGCTAGAATTTACCCGAGCAAATAGTAGTAAATGAAATTACGGCGGATTTTTACTAAAACACAAGTTTTATTTGTTTTTTCCTAATTTTTGGGAGCTATAAAAGCTTTTAGAGGTGTTGCCCCCATTCACCAATCCAAAAGAGGGGGTCAAAGCCCTAGAGAAAAAAGAGGAGAAAATCAAGGAAGTAAGGGAAGAAGAATATTCTGCCATTTCTTAGGAAAATTAGCCTGAGCTTGACAGTGAAGAAGAAGAAAAGGAGGTTGAAAAGAAAGCTGGAAGGCTTTTGGCCGTAACTTCTATCTCTTCTCCTTTGATTTTATTTTACGATGAATACGAGCTGAACTAAACTCATTTGAGGGGTTATGAATCTTTGCCTGTGACCATCAATTTTCTAGTGCATGAAGTTGTTTTACTTTATTAAAATATGTATTCATCGTTTCAATACAATTGATCTAACATTTTTTAACTAGCTTCTTATTAGGTTTCAAAAATTTGTAATAGGGTGAGAGAGGCTTTAATCTATATTAGATCTATCGTTTAATATGGATTGTGGGTATTTAGGAATAAAACTCGCCTAATATAACTATAAAATGTTCTAATATTTGGTTAACTCAAATGGGGTTTGGTTAATGAAAAATCCAGTAGTCTGTAAAGATATCGCTTTGGTTAGTAGCTCCAACAACTTCGTCACTAGAGTATCGATTAGTAACAACATAGCAACCAGAGATAATCCCCTATTTCTTACTATTGATGCTCCGGTTATTTCCTCTAATTCACATGTCCTTAGATTTTATTTACTTGTGTTATTAAGTATTTTTACGTTATTAATGGTTTAGGATAACTCGAATCATACTTGTTTGATTACTCATTGCTTGAGTGAAAGTTGAAGTGTTTAGTTGCTTAATTTCTGTAGATTCGATATTTTTTTTATTTGCTATACGATTTGTGTATAGGATTGTTAAAATCATTAGTGGTCTCATTGATACCCAATAAATAAATGGTAAAAGTAGTAAAATAATTATCATAAATGTGTAGGGTACACGAAATAAAAAATAGAATGAGATTGAAAAAGTTGTAGAGAAGGAATAAGATTGATCCTTCTCAGGGAATGAGATGAATAATGTGAGTACAAATATTTGATTCTATTTCTACAATTTGGTAAACAAAAATTGATTCTCAATTTTCATTCGTAAACATGGCCCAAATGTAAATCAACTAAATTGATGAAATTTTTTAATGAAATTAAGGGTACGTTTGGTTGTTTGGTTGGTAATCAGAAAACAGAAATTTGAAAACAAGCTATTTAATGAAAACCAGAGTTGTATTCTTTAGTTTCAGTGTTTTCAGATATGTGCTTGGTAGCAATTTAAAAAATTGTTCAATGTGTGTTTAGTAATATATTTTGTAAACTAAAAGTAGGTGAAACTAAATTTTAGTTTAATCTAAACTTATATTTATTAACATTTTTTTATGAATTTTGTATAATTGTTATTTTACAAGGTTATATAGTTTAGAATACATTATATTTTACCTGTTTTAATTTTAACAAACATAAATGAGTTTATAATATGAAGTGATATATTTATTAAAATTTTTATCATTTTTAATGTAATTATGCATCTTCAAAATTTCAAATTCTGAATCTGAAAACACTTAAAACATAAAAAAATCGTTTCAGAATTTCTGTCAAACAAGTATTCGCTGGACTGAATCCGAGTTTCCAACCAAACAGCCATAAATTTATACAAATCTTTATAATGAATAATTACCAAAATTTTGTCTGATTCGAGACCCATAAATTTCGATCCTTGATTTCTTAACAAACAATATAATATTCCTTCCATATCTAGGTTTCCATTTCTAGCAAGTAAATATGGTATTTCTAAGAATAAATTTGGCATTGCGGTTTGGTTCTACTTCCTTTTATATGTCGCAGCTTCTAAGTTCATATATTTATTTGCAATGTAATAATTAAAAATAAGTTTAAATATTATTATGGTCTTTCCCAATTTTCACACCTACTCATTTTGTACAATTTTTTTTCTGTTCATATTGATTCATATACTTCTAAAATGTCAATTTTAGTTTATTTACTTTTAAAAAGTGGTCATTTTCTTTAAAAAAAAAAATAACACAAATTTCCCATTTTTATTTTTTTAAGTTTAAATAATATTTTGGTCCTAGTACTTTCAATTTCTTTCATTTGGGTCTATTTGAAATGTCCATTTTGATTTATGTACTATTAAAAAATGACTATTTTATTACTACATTTTAAGAAATTTCTTGAATGTAGTGCGTGCCGTATTGAAATTGTGAATGAAAAAAAATGAGATAAGAAGATAATGCGAGCCTAAAACGTATGGAGATCAAAATAGATGTTTTGAAAATATAAAAATCAAAATGAAAAAAGAAATAATAAGACCAAAATATTACCTAACAGATAAAGACAGGCTCACATCTGTAAAAAAAAAAGGTAATGGAAAACTTGAATAGATAGCTCAATTTTCTAAAGTATTTATAAATATGTTAATTTATAAAAGCAATTTCTTAGTACAATTTATAAAACCATTTTTTTCTATTACCAATTTATAGCAAAATTTTTAATAACTGCAAATATTTTATCTTTTAAAACCGTATTAATAACTGACGTACCTATTAATTATAATCAAGTACTCAAAAAATTATAATCACTAATATATATAGATACACATACACACACAAGCCAATATGTGGGGTGAGAATCGAACTCACAACTTCATAGTTAAAGGTACATGTCAATCACAACTTCATCATTGATCCTTCTTTCAAAAAGAAGAAGACATATTTATCCATTAATTTAAAAACTTGTATGTCTATTAATTAATTGACTGTAATTAGTGAGATCCTATTTTATAACAATTTTGTTTTAAGTTTTAATTTTTAAAAACTATGCATATATATATATATATATTATATTTCTAAAAGCAAAATCAAATTTTAAAACAATTATTTTTATTAGTTTTTAAAGTTAAACTAAAAAAATAGACAACAAACTAAATAAACACACACTGTTTACATTATTAATTTTCAAAAAATAGAAAACAAAAAATAAAAGTATACCAAAGCAAAGTGCATGTCTTGATTATCTATAATAATAATAATAATAATAATAATAATAATAATAATAGGGGTCTACTTGGTAAACGTTCTTGTTTTTCTTTTCCAATTTTATTAAGAATTTTAAGCATTTTGCAACTAATTATATTTTTTGTTTCTATTTTTTTAAAAAAATTCTCAAAATTATATAAAAATTTTAGAAACAATCGAAACAAGTTTTTCGGTACTGGAGCCATGAATTTCTATTTTTCTTGATTAAAAATGAAGAAACAAAAACAAGAAACGGAAACATTACCAAACGTACCCAATATACTTATTTTAATTATGGTTTTACTTATATTACTTTATTTTTTTACGTTTTGTTTGTATAATATTTTATATAAATTGTGCTAGATTTGCAATTATGGGTCCAAAAAAATTTGAAATTGGGATGCAATCATATGAAAGCATGCATGAAAAATCAAAGCGGCTTTGTATAGATCATAAGCTTTCGCAGTTCTAGCTATGGCTTCCTCTGCACGTTGCATTACAAATAAAAAAATAAAAAATAAAATAAAATTTCAAAAACAATTTGTCAAAAAAAAATAAAAAACCAAATTTAAAAAACATAACTTTTTTTAGTTTTTAAAATTTGGCTTAGAAGTTGAAAACAACTCCATAGAGCACATGTAAAGCAAAAAAATACACACATGAAAAGTAGTGTTTTCAAAATTTAATTTTCCAAATCAAAAAATTAAAAACTAAATGGTTATGAAACGAGACTTTAGAAAATTATTCAATTTTTTTAAACAAAAATCTTGAAAGTTGAGAGGAAGAGAGGAAGTTGGGAGAGTAAGGAAAAATGAACGAATAAAATTGGATGGAAAATAGACAATAAAAGGGAGGTTATGTTTAGAAGGTTCCATTGAAGGACGTAAATATTTTGCCTTGTATGGCGCATTCTACATTTAATGGCTTTCTCCAAAACCTCCTCAATTTCCTCCATTGAACCACAACACCCTTCTTCTTCTTCTTCTTCTTCCTCCTATCTCTCTCATTCCTTCCAAGAAAAGAACTCTCATCTCTCTCCATCTTCCACTTCTTTTTCTCATTCTCTATCATAAAACACACAAACCTCTTCATCTTTTGCATATTCTCATACATATTTCTCATCCTTTCTCTCTTAGTTTAACCCCTTGTACAATAATCTATTATCCGTATTACAGCTTTGCGGACACCTGTGTTTTTAAGTCAAAGTCACAACTCTTCCATAGGATTTTATGGATCCATTTTGCCTACATCTTTAGAGAGAGTTGTTCTACAGCTTTGCGGACACCTGTGTTTTTAAGTCAAAGTCACAACTCTTCCATAGGATTTTATGGATCCATTTTGCCTACATCTTTAGAGAGAGTTGTCTCGCGAGAACGTATTTAGATATTTCCTGCATGTGCTGATGGTTTCTTGTCAAATTCAGTCCCGGTTAGTTGTCTCGCGCCACTAAGTATCGGTCAACCTGGTGCCAATGTTTTATGTGAATTCCATTGAAAACAGATGAAAAATGCAGAAGATCATAGTTCCAAAATGCACCAATCCAATCCGTTTCATTGTTCTAACCTCCTTCATTCTATGCTCTATATTGCTCTTATGTGTTGATTACTCTGCCTTGTATGAAACCAGACAAAAGGAAGCCACTCTCTTAACCAACGACTTCTCCAATTCCTCATCACCCATTGATCCAAATTCTGAAGAATTAGCCATTGGAACTCTCACCACAACCTCACGCATTGACCAAAAACCAAAACAATCCATTAAGACCAGTTCCTCCAATTCTCATTCATCAAGAAGATCAAGCAGAAGAAGTTCTCGTCGAAAAGGCAGAAAAACCAGAACCAAAATCAAACCCAAACCCATATTGCACATCTTTGAAGAGCCAAAAAAATTGCCACCCAAAACAGAGGAGGACCCTTCATGCAAAGGGAAGTACATTTACATGCATGACCTCCCCAAGAAATTCAACGACGATTTAATTCAGAATTGCTTATTACCCCATTTGAAATGGTCAGAAATCTGCAGATTCGTGTGGGAAAACATGGGATTAGGCCCAAAAGTTTATAGCAACAAAAGAATTTTAACCAACAATGGCTGGTATTACACCAACCAATTCTCCTTGGAAGTCATTTTCCACCACAGAATGAAGCAATACAAGTGCTTAACACAGAATTCCTCTCTAGCATCAGCAGTTTTCGTGCCATTCTATTCGGGTCTGGATGTTGGGCCTTATCTCTGGGGATTCAACACCTCAATAAGAGACAAAGGCCCAATTGAATTGGCTCGATGGCTCTCAAAAACACCTCAGTGGAAAACCATGTGGGGGAGAGACCATTTCTTGATTGGAGGAAGAATCACTTGGGATTTCAGAAGAAACAATGAAAATGACTCAGATTGGGGCACAAAGCTCATGCTTTTACCAGAACCCAACAACATGACAATGCTGACAATTGAAACCGGGTATTGGAACAACGATTTTGCTATCCCATACCCCACTTATTTCCACCCTTCAACCGACGCCCAGATCATAGAGTGGCAGAGGAAGGTGGAAAGACGGGAAAGACCCTACCTTTTCTCCTTCATAGGCGGGCTAAGGCCAAAACAGGAAACCTCCATTAGAGGGGAGCTCATAAACCAGTGTACAGCTTCAAGAAACTGCTTCTTCTTGGCCTGTATTCCCGGAGGGAGGAAGTGTGGAGACCCTGTGGAAGTGACGAGGACGTTTTTAAGCTCTGTTTTCTGTCTGCAGCCGCCAGGGGATTCCTATACAAGAAGATCAATTTTTGACGCCATGTTAGCTGGCTGTATCCCTGTTTTTTTCCACCCTGGGACTGCTTTTGCTCAGTACATTTGGCATTTTCCAAAGGATCGTAAGAAGTACTCTGTTTACATACCTTCAAAGAGAGTGAAGGGCAAAGAGGTAAATGTCAGTGACGTGTTGGAGGGAATTTCTAGTAAAGAAATTTTGGAAATGAGAAATGAGGTGATTAGAATGATTCCTAGGATGATTTATGCAGACCCCAGATCAAGATTGGAGACTTTTGAGGATGCTTTTGATGTAGCAGTTAAAGGGATTCTTGAGAGAGTGGAGATTCTGAGGAAGGAGATTGAGGAGGGGATGGATCCTAGTATTGGTTTTTCTGATATGAACTTGCAAAAGTTTGAAATGATTGGACTTGGATGAGCTTTATATTTACATTATATGGTAGAGTTTTCTCAGATCTTATTCATGGCGTTTTTGAATTTTGGTGCCGTGATTAAGTTTCTGTTCTGTAGTTTGTTTGATATGAGAAGTTCTTTTTTCCTCAAGCTTTTTGCTTTCTGTTTTTCCGATATCTGTCTTTGATTCCTTCTGTTTCTTTTAGAATTCTCTTTTTGTCTTCTTGTTATGTTATAGTTTCTTTTCTAAATAGAGCGAACCTAAAATGGTCACTACCTTGTTCTTATCACGAGAAATTTAACATATTCTTTCGTTCTACTTCTTTTAATAGTTTAAAGTTTTAAAGGATGTTTAGCTTGATTCAACAAGTATGGGTTAAATTTGAGCTGGTGTAATATGTGTTTGAACTTTGAATTGTGCAAACAATTGATTTGTGAAAATTTAGATGGGTCAATAAGATAGGTTTTTTAATTATAAATTTATGTATGCCGAATCTACCTCAAATTTAGATGGGTCAATAAGATAGGTTTTTTGATTATAAATTTATGTATGCCGAATCTACCTAAGGTATAGGACTCCTAAATTCATAGCTTATAATAAACAAACTCGTGTAAGAAACATAAGCTTGATTTCTTTAACTCTGAGTTACATAAACCAAGCTCATGAACCAAATATTCCCTAAAAGTTTGGTTTCCTCTTGATAATTAAAAACTTACATTTTAAAAGGGGAAGACGAGTTCCTTTAACTTTTTGTACAAAACCATAGTATTTTAGGATAACAACATAGATGAGCTTCCCATGTTACAAAAAATGTCTAGAAAGTACAGATTTTTAATTTTTTGTCAAGCATCACAAGGTTTGAGATTCCTAATGGTAATAAGTTTCAATTTTATCCTTCATTATTAAACATTAAGAAGAAAAATAAAATATAAAAAAACTTTCCACAACCATCGCCCTCATCAAGAATTCCCAAGAGTCTCCCATGTCAAAAAAATCAACACAAAAGCGATGGTATTATTAAATCATTGTTTGCTTACACAAGTGCACGGTAGAACCAGGACATGAAAAGTGCTACCTGATAATACTATTTTGAGTATGAAATCAATCAATTTGTCTTCACCTATAGTCTAAATTCATCCAGGATTAAATGTTCTGGCTCACCACAATATCATTTTATTGTTCATCTCATGCATTTTAGCTGCATGTTGTTGAACATTCTATCTATGAAAACTTGTCTGCTAAGTCGCTAACTATTTTCTTTAATGTACCAGATATGTAAAACCATTTGTCCGAACTTCTTTATATATGTGTTAAAGGATCCCAAATTAAAAAGATAAGAGACCTACCAAAGGTTTATAACATAAGTAGGCTACAAATTGGTTTTGAGATGAAATTCCATAAATATTAATATGGTTTTAGAGTCTACAAGCTCAAAAGAGCTTCCAGTCCCAAATGAGATTCGGTCAAGATTAGTGACCTCAAAAGAGACACCATCTTAAAGAGGCATGTTAAGGATCTCACATTGAAAAGATAAGAGACCTAAAACAAGTTTATAATATAAGTGGGCTACTCCATTCATTGCCAATTAATTTTGAGATGGAACCCATGAATACCGATAATATGGAATACACCGAATGAGTATTTTCTTCGCTACATCCTTTGTGTTGTCTCTGGTGTGATTATTGTACAATTTAAACTTCACATGTTTTGTCGTCAACCTATGGACATATACCCGGCTAGATCATTGTCAAAAGGTTTGAAGAATTAATAAAATGGAGACAATGCAATTGATCCAAAATATAGACCTCAAAAATAGTCGGTCAATTCAGTTTGGATAGATCTTATCGATTTTGATGGTTAGTTTGGTATTTTGGTTTTCAAAAAATTCAGTTTCGACTTCTGTATTTTTTTTCTTTTGGTTTTCTATATTTTTCTTAAACACTAATATGATCAACCCACTTGTTACCTACTTGATGTTTCCATTTTCTGATAGTTTCCCAAGAATATAGCGAACTTTCCATTAATCCAAAGCTATAACTCCATTATCATAAACAACATTCTCATATTCAAGTACAGAGCATACAAGATGTTGGCTTTTTACCAATCCAACACAAGACATCATCCCAACAACCAGACGATAAATCATAACACTTTCACAACTTTTCAGCTACATAAAAGATGCCACGCTCATTTCACTAAAAAATTATCACACACAGCAGACTCTAGAAACACGTGACAAAATCCATAAGCATGCAAAGCAACTTTAGATAGAGGTATGACCTTAGGCTTTCCATGAAGAGGGGGGTGGTGTCTCAGAGTGCTTCCATGTCGCCATGCTGCTTGGATACCGATCGCCCTTGACATTATCATCTGAAGCAAGGCCTTCAAGCTCAGCCATTTCTTCAGGAGTAAGTTTTATAGACAAAGCTCCAATATTCTGGTTGAAATTTTCAGTTTTAGTCGTTCCGGGAATGGGACACACATCATCCCCTTGGTGGTGAACCCAAGCCAGAGCCAACTGCGATGGGGTGCATCCCTTTCTTTCTGCCATTGCACTAACCTTCTCAAACACGGTTTTATTGTGCTCCAGATTTTCGGCTTGGAACCGTGGCAAAGTCTAAACAAGAAGAAATGATGTCATTGGAAACAGAATCTCGTTAGCTACAACTTAAAAGTTAACCAGACAAGCATGTTCCTGGAATTTAAACACTCTGTTATGTACTCATTCAGTTCTGAGAAACACCAGCAGAAGCAAAGTAATGAAGAGAAGATGCGGTTGTTAATAACAAACCAGCTCGATAATTTTTTAAAATTATATGAATTAAACTTCGATTGAGTTAATAACCATAGAGTTGTTTCAAATAAATAGGAAACAATTAACTATGTAGAGGCAAACCTTTCGGAAGTCATCATTTTTTAGACCTTCAACAATGTTAGGCCCAGATGAGAAGAAGCCTCGTCCAAGAGGACTGTATGCCACAATTCCAATGCCAAGTTCCCTTTGAAAATTGAAAGAATAATATTGAGATAAAAAATAAATCTAGAAAAAGGTTAGATAATGGCATTAATAATTCCTCACCTGCAAGTAGGAATTATCTCTTCCTCCACATCTCTTGACCACAAGGACCACTCAATCTGCACAGCTGTTATTGGATGAACAGCATGTGCTCTTCTGATGGTGGAAGCTGAAGCCTCAGACAGACCTATGTACTTCACTTTACCTTCTTCGACTAACTTCTTAAGTTCTCCAATCTTTCCAGAGACAAGAAGGGGAAGAATGTTACGAGAAGTTAAAGACTGAGAACTTTCACAACTTGTAAAAATGCAACTCATTCTATCATAAAAGTAATGAGGTGCACACATATTTATGCTCATCAGAACAATGAACTCAACTAAGTTGGTTAAAACTTAAGAAATAAATTTCGAGCAAATGTCCTTCCTCATAGCTTGCTTAAGAATAGAATGTAGATCAATTCGGACGTGCTATGTAGGCCCATGAAAAACCGGAACATGCGGCTGCTAAATAAAGGACATATTATAACACCATATAACCAGTGATCACAAAAGAAACACAAAAGGATCTTTAAGAAATTGGTGAAGCAAAGTAATTGGAAGCCGATGCACAGTAGTCAGCTTCTGTTGAGCTTCAAGACGCATAGCAGAAATTAGGACTTGAACCAAAAAAAATTATAAAATAGGTAGTGGTCCTAGTGGATCATGGACCAACATCTACAGTCCAACCAGAGCCAGAAAATGCAAGAAAGAAATAGCATCAGACTGAAATATAAACAGATAAAATACCACTCAAATACTGTAAAACGATGGTTGCTAGGCAAGTAGAAAAATTGATAAAAATTCATTAGTAAAAAAAAGATGGCGTTTGGCTATATATTCTGCAAGAAAGGGTGTCCATAAGGGTTCCTATTCTTGTAATAGCAATGTTGAGTTTTAATTCTCTCTCTCACATCTTCCCATAATGGAGTTGTATCCATCCACACATCCTCCCAAAATCTCACTCTGTCCCCCTTGGAGGCTATGAATATAAGACCCCTCGTTGAGCACTTCAAAGGTTTAGTCGTCCATCCGTGGGTCTCAACACCATAAATAGCTCCAATGACCCTCCTCCACAAACTGGTTTCTTCATGTGCAAATCTCCAATGCCATTTAAGAAGCAGCGACCAGTTCCTCTGTTTTAAAGATCCCACCCCAAGCCCCCCTCATTTTTGAGGTAGCGAAGCCGTGCTCCAATTAACCAGATGACTGCCTTTCTTGTTATTTCCTCAATTCCAAATGAAGTCCCTAATAAGCTTTTCCATCGTCAAAATCACAGCCTTAGGAGCTTTCAGTATAGAAAAGTAATAAACCGGAAGGCTATTCAACACCGGTTGGGCGAGCGTAAGTAGACCCCCCTTAGACAAGAGCAAGTTCCGCCATTTATCAAGTCTAGCTCTTGAACAGCCTTCCGGTCCAAAGAAAGAAGAATGGATTTTAGTTCAAAATTGATTTCAACTGAAGGTACAAGTCTAGTTTAGGATCCAAAAGTTGAAGGTGAAATTTTTCAGCCCTTTAGCAAGCTGAATAAAAAATAAAAGGGGAAAAAGATATACTCCTAGTCCTAAAGGCAGACCTAAACACTAACCAAGTATAAAAGCTTAGTCACACATTAACAAAGACAGGAAACTACCATCCTCATGAATTGTGCTTAAATTGGGATGAAATTAATGACACCCCACAATAATCAAAACTCGAGACAGAAATTTGAGTCAATTGTGGGGCTTCGTTTCAATATCAAGACATGGAAGTCACAAGTCAAAGACCCAAATATCAATTACGGCAGAACGCAGTAAAACAGAAACGAACAAAATCTATTCAAATCCGGCTGGTATAATACAAAGAACACATCAGCAGAAGAGAATGAGAAAGAATCTACGAATACGAACCGTGACTTCAATTGGAACCCTGATGTCAACCCGGTGCTGGTAATAGAGATCGATGCAATCGATCTCAAGGCGCTTCAAGCTGGCTTCACAAGCTGATCTTACATAGGCCGGGTCTCCGCGGACCTCCCTCTTGCCGTCGGCGAGATTAATTGCGAATTTGGTGGCCAATTGGACCTTATCTCTGACGCCGCCCTTGAGTGCCTTCCCGATGAGGATCTCGTTGGTGAAAGGGCCGTAGACGTCGGAGGTGTCGAGGAGAGTGACGCCGCTGGCGACGGCGTGGTGGATGAGAGCGATCATGTCGGCGTCGGGCTTGGGGGGGCCATAGAAGGCGGACATGCCCATACAACCGAGGCCTTGCGCAGAAACTTCCAGGCCTTGGGAACCGAGCTTGATTCTACGAACTTGAGAAGCCATATCTGTGGATGAGTGAGCAGCAGTGGCCGGCGTGGAGGGAGCAGAAATGGTTGAATTTTACAGTGGTGGTGGTGGTTGTGGCTGCTGCTCCGGCAATACCGCCACCTTTTGCTTTTTTTCCCTTTGTCGGAAGACGCGGGATATTTGTTGTTAATTTTTAAATCAAATATTTAATAGCCAATTGGTATTTAAAAATTAAAAATAAATAAATAAATAAAAGAAGTTTACGAGACATTTTTCGGATTTTTTTTAATAATGCTACACGTTAAAGTATTTACGAGAATATTCTACTTCCCAACCCATTTACTAGGATAATGCTTTGGAAATAGTAAGTCGTCTGTTCAAGAGACGACCTGTGAAGTGACAACAACTGATCGTCTCTTACGCTTTATAAGCATCACGTAAATTTTTTTTTAAATAACATTTGAGTCCGTTTTTAAACAGTGTAGCCCGTCACGCTGTTTTTTTTAATTACTAAACATGTCGTCTCTTCAAGGGACGATATGTTGCTCTTGGTCGTCTCTTAGAGACGACCATTTCGATTTTTTTTTTTTAAATTACATGGCTTGGTCGTCTCTTGAAGAGACGACATGTTGAGTAATTAAAAAAAAAACACTACGTTGTTTAAAAACGGACTTAGAGACGACCAAGTGTAATTTAAAAAAGAAAAATTTACAAGCGTCACGTTAGTGTCGACGACCACTTGTTGCCACTTCACAGGTCGTATTTCCAAAGCATTATTCTGGTAAATAGTCTGGGGAGTAGAATATTTTTGTAAATAACCTTTAGCATTATAAACAAAAAAAATCCTAAACTTTTTTCGAAGAAGTTTGCAAAAGAAAAAAATAAAAAATAAAAAATAAAGGTAGGTGGATGTGAAAAATTCTTCTACTGTCTCGTTTGGTACTCTTTGATCCAGATCTTGAATAGATTAATTAGATGCATAATTGTAGGGGCAGAATGAACCAAATCGACCCGAAAATCGATGGTTGGTTTGATTTGGTTCAATTGGATAAATAGGCGGTTGGTTCGGTTCGAGTTAACAAAATCGAGAGTTATCTTTTTTTATAGTTTGTGTCCGCCTCCCTCTTCCTCTCCCCTCACTCTTCCTCTCCCTTTCCTCGACAAAATTTGAAAAACAGACAACCCCGTGACAGCGACTCCAACGAAAATGATGACAGCAGTTAGCAACAGATAGTGGCGGCAACTCCACTTGTCGTGGGTTTGAAATCACGCTAGATGCCCAACTCCAATGTAAACAAAATGAAAGTCGTTCATAGGGAGGAACATGCATGTCTACAATCACATAGATTAAGGAAAACCCAAAAAGACCTGACTTGACCCAAACATGAGCGGAATATATTCGGGTAGGGTCGATTTTTGGAAAAAAAAATTTACTGGGACAGACTTGAACCGAACTGATTACATCCTACACAATTGAAACTTATTAGATTTACAGACCTAAGCTATTAGACACCAAACTAATTCAGAGCCTAACTTTTTAACATAGAAATAAAGAGACAAAACCCTCCATATTCTAACTCTTTATATTCTAACCTTTAAGAGGGATAGTTTATTAAAAAGAGAAAATTAATTTGAGAAACGTAAAATTTGTAACAATGGAGATTAAATATTTTAAAAGAAATGAAAAAAAAAAAGAGAAAGTGGCGTGGGCGGGAGAGAAATAGGGAGTGAGAGAGAAAATTTTATAGTTGAAAGACAAAATTACCCTCAAAATATATATGAGAATGTTGAAATTAAAAGGGCAAAATAAGGAGAAAAAGTTTCTCCCTATAACCCCTTTTATATATACTATAGATTATAAATATTAAATTAATTATTAATTATCAATACTAATAAATGCATAGAATTTGAAAGGTTAGAATACACCAAGTTTTCCTACAACATGAAATTAATTTTTTCTTTAATTATAATTCATACTAGAATTTCAAGAGTATTAGAATTTCAAAAGCTTTTGTAACTTCTTATCTTCTAATACTATAAAAATAGGCTTCTTCCCACCATATTTTTCACAACATTCACTACTTTATTCTTGGTTCTTTCAAAACATCTTTCAAAGATTATTCAATCTTGAAAATTTCTTGAAATGTTGGTGGCATATACATCAAGTTGTAAGAGATGTATATTCATCAAGTTGCAAGAGATACATATTCATCAAGTTGCAATGAATGTACGTGCCAAATATATATATCTCGAATACTTGGCTTGCGACGTATCATTCCACAACTTTATGAAGTTCAATAATAGTATTGTCAAGTAATTATCAAGAGTGATGATATCTACTCTAAAAGATTAATGTATAGTTATGATTTGTATTTTTTTTGTTACTATTATTTTTTTATTGTTCTTTTATAATTAATGTATTTTTTTTATTTATAATGTTTTTCGTTTGAGCAATTTTATTTTACAAGCTCACGTTCTTATTGTTGACAAAAATAATATAAGTTAATACATCAAAATATGTTAATTAATTAAATAGTAAATTAATAAATTAATTATCAACAATAACTTATATGGAATCTTAAAAGGTGGGATACAAAACTTTCAATCCTTTTAATTTAAATAAATTTAATCATAATATTATTTAAGTCAATAAATTAATTTGATCTCAAGTTAAAAAGTTCAATAAATAACAAAATGTTAGCTGTGAAAATGAATCTTTAGTAAACAAACAAAATATTTTAAAAAATAAAGGGTCCATATTAGGTAAAACAACATTTTAAAAATAAAAATATTAAAATACCTATTTATTTTTTTAATTAATATATTGAAAATGATGAAATGTAACCTAAAATTCATTAAAAAGTGGTCCGGTAAGATATTTTATATATTTTCGCTTTCAACCTATTTTATTAATAATTTATTATTTTTAATCTCATATTTTTATAATTTTACTAATTAAGAATAATAAAATAAATTTATCAATAATATATAAGCAAATAATGAATTTTTTTATAAATTCAAAGTACATATTAATTTTATTTCTATAATATAAAATAAAGTAAAAGAAAAAAATGGATGAGTTAAGAGCTGGAATATGGAAAGTTTATTTACCTACATTAATTTAATAATTATTACTTTTAATTATATTATATTTAATCTTAAAATAACAAGAATCTCAAAATCTCAAAAGAATAGGATGAAACTTAATCTAAAAATACAAAAGTCTTAAAATCTAAAAGAATTATAATTTATATATACAAACTTATAAATATACCAGCTTTACACTTATTACTTTGAAATTTATTTCAATTAATAATATGAATTTGAACTAAAAATTTTGAATATGAAAAGTGTTACCGTTTATTTACTAAAAATTTATAGATTTATCTTCTATCATAATTAATTTTAGAGTTTTAAAAAGCTTTATAACTCTATTACATCCACTTATTATAACAAAGAGTTCTTCCACAATTTTCCACTAGCAATATGAGTTTTATTTTGCCTATTTTTTTTTTTTTTTTTACTTTTGTTATCTTCCATTTCCTTCGTTTTTAAAGTCTAAGCAATCTCAAGAGCAATTCAAGATGTTATGAGATATCTCAGAGAGCACGCATGAGTTAATATATATTATGAATTATTGATTTGAGATGTTACAATTTAATTTTGAAGTTATGTGTTGTCTTGCAATTATCAAGAAGGTAGGTATATATATATATCTCTTAATTTTCTTCTCTGTTTTTTTTACAATTAGTGATATTTTTATTTATGTTATTATAAAATTAATTAAATTAAAAATTTTCCATGCAATGCACGTGGTAGCATACTAGTTTTAAAAAAAGCTTTTTAAATATATGAAAATTTTTCAAAAATAAAAAATTTGAGACTGATAATCATTTTACTTTTGGTGTTAGTATTTTTTAAAGTGTTAAATTTAAGCCAATTTTTAAAAACCAAAAAAACTAAGAAAATAATTTTTAAAAATTTGTTTTTGTTTTTAAAATTCGACTAACCATTTAAATATGTTTTTCTGAGAGCAATAAAAAAGACGTAGTAAAAAAGTTGCAAGTAGAAAAAACAATTATTTAAAAACAAGATTGTTATTCATTTAAAGTGATTGTGAGGGTGTCGGACCTTCAGTCTCGAGAAAGGTACTTAATGCCTTATTCTCTCACTATATTTGAATTAGCAAATAAACGTGATAATTAAAGTGATTTCATTTTTAATTTTCTATATTTAAAAAATAATATCTAATAAGATTTCCAATCGCTTATCAACCCTTCCTCCTTTAGTTTTCAAATACTAGCTTAGGTTTTTAAACAATCTTTATAGATTATCAAACAAAGAAGTACCCTTGGTAGATAATATTATTAGATATTATTTGAATTAGATTTATGATTATAAATTATATTATTTAATTTAGATTTTATATTTATATTATGATTGTGAATTTTCACATTATAGATAGGTGGGAGGTTTGTATCAAAAATTCAATTAAGTGAAATCATATTTTGTTATTCTCGTTACTTTCTCTCCCCCTAAAATTTGTATACACGAGTGGTAATAGTGTTTATAAACTTAATTTTCAAAGATAGAAAATAGAAAATAAGATGGTTATGAAATGGATCCTTCTTTTTTAGTTTTCTTGCTTCGATTTTGAAAGTATTTTTAAAAAGTAGACAAGTAAAATTGTTAAGAATCCCACGTGCAAAAGATAAGGGAGCCTAATAATGGCCTTGTCTTCTAACCTAGGCATTCCGCTTTTTTTTTTTTTTTTTTTTATGAACTTCAACTTGAGGCGAATTCCCAATACACCATGTGGTAGAAATGTCTATTTTTTCTACATGAGATATTTAACATGCCCCCTCAAGACAGTAGATCTATTGGACTCACCAATTTCGACCAGATCTCATTTTTGGATCGGATGTTCGTTTGAGTTTGTTGGACTCTAAAACCCATAACAATTTGTAGGGACAGAATCGGAGAACGATCTTCGATAATGAGTATTGTGCCTTGTGCTGGTATGAAGCCGCAGAAAGCGATCTACATATTACATAAGTATTGGAGAGACCGTACCAGAAAAGAGAAAACATAAAACCAATATCGAAAATGGTTAAATAATAGAGAGAAAATAAGCTCTAAACATAATTAACAAAGTGCTTATTCTAGCCAAAACAAATAAACTCATAGACTTTTGAAAGTCTTGTTCATGAGCTTAACTTTAAAAAATAAAAAACTAAAATCCGACACATGGCCAAAGAAACTAGAATAAAATTTAAACTTTTTGGAAACTTTTAGGAAAAAGGCAGTAACAATAATTGAAAGAGGCTGACATTAGTTGGCCTGTCAATGTATTGAGTAAAGGTTGGGATTTATTAAAGTTACTTGCATCACCAAAACCCACTCCTCTAAATTATTCAATTCAAGCCCCACTTGAATAAGATTGAAATCATTAATAAAACGAGTGGTGACAAATTATAGTCTCTCTCTTTATATTTTATATATAATTTTCTTAATCTTAAAAAAATAGTACTATAATTTAGTGGAGTCGATGGTTTGATCTTGACTCTACAATTATTGAAAAGAAAAATCTTAATATTAGTTACGTTAAATTAAAAAAAGAAAAAAAGATATATTCTTAGATTTTATAAGTAGCTTAAAATTATTATTTTTTCAATTGATTTTATCTTTAATGTATTAATTGATTGAATCAAATCATGTAATAACAATAAAAATATTTGAAATGTGTTTATGTAAGTAGTAAGTTTTGATCAACTTTCAAATGTTTAAATATGATTAGGCAGGTAGTTTTGGCTCTCAAACTTTAATTTTTTTTCTTTATATTTTCAACTTTTCTTCATTCTAATAATTGTACTTTCAAAACGTCTTTTTATCTCCATCGTAATTAACTTGGTCTTTATTTATAAAATTTTAACGCAACGTAGAAGTTCTTCATGACCATATTTCAACAAAATTTAATGAGGGAAACAACATGCTAAAATTATAAAAAGAAAAGAAATGAGATGAAAATGAAAATGAAGGAACCAAAATGATAATTTCCTAAAAGTACCAGAATCAAAATACGAACGTTTCGAAAAGCATATTAAAATGAACAAAAATTGAAAGTTTACCGATTAAAATAAATAAAAATAAAAAGTATAAGAACCAAAATAATATTTAAATAAATTTTAAAATATGGATGGACACATAACCCAAAATCCACCCACATGCAATACTTATAATAAATAACGCCACCCACATCAAATAATAGATGAAATGAATAGTGGCATCTAAACTTCTTATATTTGGTAGATTATTATTATTATTATTACTACTATTTTCTAGGGGGGAAAAATCATTTATAACCTGAATTTGATAAGGTATACCCCAAATGTTTAATTTCATCAAATTGTACCTTAAATTTTGATATCCTTAGACTTTAAAAAATGTAGTAACTTTTACTTTTTGATAGATTTTTATTTGAAAATGTGTTAAAAAAAGGTTCTCTGATGTGTCAAATGAATTATAAAACGAAATTCATAGTATTTAGATAAAAATGAATTATAAACTTTCAATTTATTTGTCGAAGATTTTAAGTTTTGACAGAGTTATATTTAATGGTCAATTTCGTGTATTAATCAAACTTAACTTACGAAGCTTGATTTTTATTAAATTAGTAAGTTCTTTGAACTTTTTACATTGTGTTGAACAAAAATTAGTGGATGAGTTAACGTGTATTGAATTGATCAGGATAAAAACTACAACACTCATATGAGTTTAGTATTCACTAGTAAAAATTAATATAGGAAGTAAAAAATAATTTTTTTAATAGATAAATAGACCAAAACCTAGAAACTAAAAAAGGAAAGAGATTGAAAAGTCGCAGTGAGAATGTGTATATTATATACACAAACATACTATATTTTGCGAAATTGAGCATAGTTTTTTTTTTTTTGTTAAAACATCCATGCCTCTTGCACTAGAAAATGAGATATACTTTTAAAATATATCTCTTAATATCAATTTTTAATATATATTTTTCAAAGCATTACAACTTTTAATTATTTTCGCATAAACTTAATTTTTTTAGTATGTTTTATATTACCTTTGATTTCAATTTTGAATTATGTCATTTTTGTGAAATTTTAAACTTTCTGCTATTTATGAAAATAGAATATGCAAATGCCTAAAATAAATAAACAGAATTTCTCAACTTTTTGTTTTTGGACACGTAAGATAAACAATCACCTAAATTTTCAATTAATTTCTTTAATTTATCTTTCTTGCAATTTCTTTAACAGAAGGTCCTATCCTAATTGAAATAAATCAATACACGAAGAAGGATAAAATTAAAAACATTAAAAAAGAAAAATTTAAAAATACTTCACAAATATGAGAAACCAATCGGCTATTAACGTTAATATCATTTTTTAAACTAACACAAAGTCATACTAATATAATTTGCTTCTTCGTTATTCCTAAAAAAAGAAAGAAAAGAAAAAAAAAACGATATGTACGGCCGGAGGCGGTGGCCCTGCCTTCTACTCCGTCGCAACCGCCGCCAGTCCACCGGCGACGTCGTTCACTTCATTCTCTCCGTCCATTCTCTTGTCTTCAAGAAGAATCGGAGAGAGATACATAGGCAGCGAAAGAAACGAAAATCGATCTCGAGATCTCGAAGATCAGTCACAGTTGGAGGCAGCAGTCGGAAGAAGCAAGTAAAATCTACAATTCGAAAGCAAAATCAAACGAACAGACAGATCTATATATACCTCGAATTTGGAAATAGGTGAAAAATCGCGGTCCGATTGCGATTGCGATTGCGATTAAGAGCGATCAGATGTAGATGTGAAGCTGAACGACGAAGGTGAAGAGGCAGAGGAGGGCGAAGAAGATGAGAGAATGGATGAAAATGGAGGCACCGCTGGTATGGAAGTTGCCGAACTCGACGAATTGATGGTGGCCGGGGACCTGGAAGAGAAGGCCGGGAGATAGAAGAAGAAAGAGAACCACAGCCACAAAAACTGGGCCCCAATCCGCCATCGTTTTTTTTTCCTCTGGTTTTTGGTTCCTCACTCACCACTCGCGCCTCCCTCTCACCGCCTTTTATACTTGGGCTCATCTAAAAAACTCACCATTTTTTTTTAAACAATTTCACTTTACCTTTTTTTGTTCTTGTTTTTTTTCCTCTTTCTCTCTTAGTAATTTTCGTTAATTAAACTAAGCCATCAACATTGAAATTTCGCCACCTAGAATTCCGTTAAATTCGTACAAATATTCTAGAATAAAAGTGATCGACGAGACTTCTAAGTCGAATTACTCCGGAAATCTGAACTCTTAGATCCATGTGTTTCGTTGTGAGCCTAATGTCGGATCGAGGGTTGAGATAGGGCAGGTTTGGATCGGGCTGCACAAAAGTCAAGGAGAACTAAAGGAGGGTTCTCGACCATGGGCCGACAACACCTCGGCACCCAGACCTGGTTGGCGCCAACCACGGTCGACCCGAGTCGGATCGACGGGTTTCGGTGTTTACCTGGTTCATGTGCTTCTTCTCCGACGTAGTCTCTACTTCTTTCACTTGGTTCGTTCTCCTTTTATCTTCTTGTAATTTTTCTATAAAAACTAGAATGATATATTTCAATTTTTTTTCTTTCTTGTCTGGTGAAAGAAGCCCTATTGGACTAAGGATATAGAGAAAGAAAAAGCAGTTGAATTGATTTTATCCGACAAATAAATGATCTCTGCACTTTCGTATGAAATGAGGAAGGATGATTTCTTCTCTTAATTTTAGTGGAAGAAAAAGAAAATAGAGAATACATAAAATAGAAAATCTAATTCAAATAATATAATTTAAACTATATACTAATTCAAATAATATTATCTAATAATAATTCAAAATATTATATATAAATCTAACATCTACAAACGGAAAATCTTAATTTATTTCCGTACCCTAATCCAAACCTTTATTCGAGAGTGCTAAACTATTAGTTGTTAGCATGAAATTGGTAAGCTGAAGAAGTTCGAGTAGGGTTCATAGGGTTTGGGATGTTGGATATTTTAAAGATTTTATTTTATTTCATATTTTTATTAACTTTATTTTATTCTTTTAACTTGGTAGTTCACTATTCCTAAGAGGAAGTAATTTCCTTAATAAGAGGGAGTGCTTTCACGATCTTTCTCAAAATTTTCTCACAAATATATATATATTTTTTAAATTAAATCAAATTTTCTTTCTTCTTCAGTATTTTATTTCGAAGAGCTAGATTGGTAAGAAAATTTAGTTGAACACAAGATCTCTGGAAGTATTATAGTTATATTTTTTGGAGTTGAGTGGTAGGAGCATGTCTTCTCTATGGATAACGTTTATAGACATGCCACAACTCATAATTTCCGTTTCTTACATTAATTATCCGTGTTAATTATTGAAGAAATTATTATTTCCTTAAATTTATTTTCAACCAAGGCAACAATCATGTCCAAATAATGTATGTGTTTTTTGACGTTGTAAAATAATTTGAAGACAAGAATTTCCAAGGGATAGTTTGGATAGTTTGGGATCTCAAGGAATAAGGTTCAAGCTACATAGGACGCAACTTCCACCAATCAATGACTCGTTGACAGGTAAGGTGTACGTATACAACATTCTCTTTTGGGATCACGACACATAAGTATTAACTATCCTCCTTGGAGCTATTACTTTACTTTTAACAAATTGACAATTTAGTTTCAAGTATATATTAATAGCTTGTTAATATGGTTAGAGCTACATAAATTGGTCAAAGATGAGTATGTATTAAAAAATTTAAGGTTCATTTTTAAAATAGACATTTCGAAAATTAAAAGTTAAACGGTGGAATGAAGATAAATAGTTAGGAATGAAAGGGAAATTTAAACCTTATATTTAAATTATATTACAAAGCATGCAACAACTAAGTCAAGATAATACACATGCAATTTTCAAAAAGAAAAAAGAATGCAACTTACAAACGATGCATGGAATTTAGCTTTTCAGGTTAAAAACTTTATGTGATCAAACCGTTCATAAATAATGTAATCACACAAATCGGGTTATACTAATCAAATTTGTATGGTTAATTGTTAAATATTTTTTAGAAAATGAAAAAAAAAGCCTGCATTTTATACAATAATGATAAAATAATTCTTTTATTAATGTTTTGAATAAAAACAGGAAAGTAAAAGGTAAAACGAGCAACTTGATTTTGTTATTTCTAAACATATTATACAAAATTTTGGAAACGTGAGAAATAAGAAAAAAAAATAGTTATGAAACGACTATGTAATTTCTATTCTTATTTTCAATTCTCTCAACTTTAAAAGGTTTTACTTCGTGTTCAAAATTTTGCATAAAAACCACTTTAATATTTACTATTGATTTTTCATCACCAATTTAACAGTCCATATATTTGAAAAACTAATAATGCCTAATCTATTACATAGCTTCAAATATTTGTCAATGTCGACATGAATAAATATGTGCTTAATTTTTTTATTAGATTTTTGGTAAATAATTTATTAAAAAAGTTAAAAGATTAAATTATAAATTTAGTCTATGAATGTTGATCTAATTTGTTCTTAAATTTTTAAGGTTATATTTATTTAGTATTATATTTTTTAAAAAATGGTAATAAGGCCAACATACTTATTTTGTATCTAAAGACTAAGACTAAATGTTTGAATTTGCCCACATGATCTCGATTAATACGATCATCATGTCACGTAAGCGCTAAAACAAAGGTGTTGAGTAAACCTCGGATACAAAATTGAAAATGTATTGACTTAATGAATTAATGAATTATTTTAAGAGATTAGGGCAAAATAGACGTAGGAATTATTGTAGAGACCAAATTTATAAATTTTCTTTAAAGAAAATAGTTAAAAAAAATAGATTTTTTTTTATTCAAGTACAAAAACCAAATGACTGAGCCAACATTAGCTTAATTAGCCTAGTAATATTTAGCAACCTAAAAATCCACGAATTTGAATATTCTACCTCTACTTGTTGTACTAAAAAGATAAGATGAGAATAATTTCTTTTGTCTTTGAAAAATGTTCCTTCGTAGCATATAAATTATAGGAAATTACACGAAAGGGTAGATAACAAATATGTATTTATAAAAATATAATTACTTTTTTGTTTCTTTTTTTTAAAAAGGTCACAAATTTGTGGATTTTTTTTAATACAATATGTTGCGGAGGAGATTTGAACTCACCAATTAGCTAGATTTGTGGACTTTAATTTACTTCAATTTAATTCGGAATGTAATTTTGTAAATTTTTAAACATAATGCTATATATATAATACATATTCTAGTTTATACTATTTTTTGTACCATTTTTAATTTTTTCTTTTCAAACATGGCATAAGTTTGGGCTTTTTTAATTGTATTTTTATATTGCATTTCAGTTTGAATTTGATTTGAATCATATTAATGTGTAATTTAAAAAAAATTGTTAATTTAAAAATACATATTTATTTCATACTAGATGTCAAAACATAAACCTAAAAATTAATTCAGAAAAAAGAAAATCATTAATTGAAAGTCTGATACATTAGTTGGCCTGTCACTGTATTTGGTAAGACTTGAGATTTATTAAGGTTATCTGGGGTTGAATTGAATTGAAAACCCACTTGATCATTAAACTTTAATCTATTTATAAAAATGTATAATGACAAATTGCATTCCATCATTTATATACATTACACAAATTAACACACGTGATGCTATGTTATTCTTATCTTATATTATTAAGCAACTAATACTAGTTACATTAAAATTAATAGTAAAAAATAACCAAAATGATAACTTTTAGATTTAATAATTTGTTTTAAATTATACTTGATTAAATATAAAAATATTGGTACCTAATATTCCTATCATTTTTTAATTTCATTATTATTGTTTTAAAAAGCTCTCAACTTTACCTTTACCTATTGATTCATTTGTTTCATTAAGAGTGTGTTTGGGAGTCATTTTGACATGATCATAATCATCAAATCACTTCCAATTGATTTCAGTAAAATTTAAAATCACTTTAAATTTATTTTTAAGCCATCATTTGGAGGGTGATTTTGAAAAATCAATTATACTAGTATGAACGTTTTAAAATAAGTATGGAAATGATTAGTTTTTACTAGTATGAACGTTTTATTTTTTTAAGCATGCTTGTTAATGGAAGTTGAGTGAGACTTTAAAATATGGATAGATGTACCCATCAAATAATGGGAAGATCCACCCACATGCAATACTTATAATAAATAAGTTGACCTACTTAAAATAATAAATGAATAACTCGACCTATGTAACTTCTTTCATCTGGCTAAAATTGAAAATGAAAAATGCTTGTCTATGTAACATGAGATGTTTGACAACTAAGAGAGAAAAAAATGAAAAACAGATATGTTTTAAGATAATAATGAGTTGTCAAACATCTATGAGACAAGTATTAGAATATTGAAGTTGAATAATGGAAAGAGGGGAGTTAGAGAAAAAAATCCAAATGGTAGAAAAATTGTAGTTAAAGAGAGTAAATGATGAGACCTAGAGGAAAAGTTAATATTATGAAACAAATAATATGAAAAAGAAAATTCAATTGAGTATTATACATTGGGTAAGGCAATTTATCAATGTTCCTCAATACTTCAGTTCAGGGCTCGTTCCATGACGTTCCCATTTCGTGTTTCTTGTTTCCAAATTTTATTAGGAAACCTAAGTATTTTGAAATTAATTATGTTTCGTGTTTCTATTTTTTAGAAACGTTATTATCAAAATCGTATATAACTTTTGGAAATAATCAAAACAAGTTTTTTGCTTCACTTCCCAATTTGTTATAAACATATAAATATAAATATTGTTCGATCATTCTTATGTACAGAATGGAACTTTAATTTATGTATTTTTGGAAAAATAAGATAAGGTAGAGTACCTCTGGTTTTAAATTTAATTTATTGATTTTTTAAAGTTAAAATAAGTTTCTAATGTGATGTCGATGGAAATGTCGAATACATAATTTCATGAAAATATTGACGAAAATGTAGATAAAATGTCGATCTTGATGAAGGTTTATGGACAAGTT